TCACCTATGTCCTGAAAGTGGAACATGGCATTAAAAAAAATAAATGTAAATAAAAATGTAGATGAAATTATTTTGCATAGATTTTACTCAACTTGGAATACAAACTTAAAATAAAAATAATAAACAAAACTAAAGCCTAAAAATGACATGACACAGAAATCAAAAGGTGCATCATAATAAGGAAATAAGGAAAAACAAAGGAAAATATTGTCTGAAACCTAGAAAAGAACACTGAACTCCTATATAATATCTACCTCCTGTATGGCAGTGTGCATATTGGACAATTTCCTTACAGATGAAGAAAGGGTCAGAGATGCAGTTCTACATGGACAGAACATATGAGCAGTGAGTAAATTCTAAAACAAATGGAAGCTAAAAAGACACATACTTAAAATCAGAAAGAAGGTATTTGCATTATTTACATCATTCGAACTGTTGTCCTCATCTTTATTGCCATATTCACAATGTTTTGGCCATTGTATTCTCCAACCATCTTCAGGTGATATACATTGGGATTTTAAACCAAACCTGGGAGTAGATTGTTCTATTTCAATATTCCATGCCATTTTTGGATATTTCAGTTAATTCTCTTTAGTAACTCAGTTTTTGTTCCCTTTTCTGTGGCTAAGTCACTTTCAGTGACTCGGCCCACTGGATAAGAACATTGGTTATGTGGAACTAAAACAATCTATCTCCATGGACTAAGTAAAGGGTATGGTTCAAAATTTTAACACATATACCTGAAGAAGGTTGGAGTGTACAATGGCCAAAACATTGTAAATATGGCAATAAAGATGAGGACAACAGTCCAGACAATGTAAATAGTGTAAATAATCAGAAATATAGACAAATGCAGAAAGAAACAATTGAAATTTTAGGACAACATGTAAAGAAGGAAAGCTTGGAAAATTTAATATTCACAGGATGTATTTAGGGAAAATGAGTAGAGGGGAAACTAGAGAATGATTTAAATGTGAATGGATAGCAGAGAAAACCCAAGGAGGGATAGTAAGGAGTTAATATTGCAAAGAGCTATAAGGGACAGGATTGCTAATGTTCAAAAGGGGCATAAATACTAAAGTCTTTTAATTAATATTAAATCTTCTTTAACAAATGGGTGTGCAGGTGATGTATTTGAGAGCTTTACATTGATGACTTGCAAATACCCCCATGAATCTATATGTAGTAGATAACCTACTGCTATCCTATCTTCCTTTTTCCTTATCACTGTCAAATTATGCAATCCCACTTCTTTGATGTGTCCAAGAAATTTCAAGTCTTTTTCTGATTCTAATATAAATCTCCAATTTCTTTCTTTTCCTTAAGTTTTCTTCATTGCTTATGTACTCATTCCCTTAAATTCCATTGGTAAGAAAGAATTTTCTCTCTGAGAACTTCTGTAGAGCAACTACTTTGTGGAACAGACTCTCAAAAGTATTCTTCTCTGAGCACAACTGTCTGTTATTTATCTTGTATATCCTACTAATCTAAACTTACATTGCTATCATACATTTATACTGTTGTGGAGTAGCTGAACACCACCACAAGATGGACTTGTCTAAGATTATTTAAACAGCACTCTCTTACTGAGTGAAAGGAGTTAAGGATTAACTATTAAGCACGCTCTTACTGAGTGAAAGGAGTTAAGGATTAACTATTAAGCACGCTCTTACTGAGTGAAAGGAGTTAAGGATTAACTATTAAACACGCTCTTACTGAGTGAAAGGAGTTAAGGATTAACTATTAAGCACTCTCTTACTGAGTGAAAGGAGTTAAGGATTAACTATTAAGCACGCTCTTACTGAGTGAAAGGAGTTAAGGATTAACTATTAAGCACTCTCTTACTGAGTGAAAGGAGTTAAGGATTAACTATTAAGCACTCTCTTACTGAGTGAAAGGAGTTAAGGATTAACTATTAAGCACGCTCTTACTGAGTGAAAGGAGTTAAGGATTAACTATTAAGCACGCTCTTACTGAGTGAAGGAGTTAAGGATTAACTATTAAGCACGCTCTTACTGAGTGAAAGGAGTTAAGGATTAACTATTAAGCACGCTCTTACTGGAGTGAAAGGAGTTAAGATTAACTATTAAGCACGCTCTTACTGAGTGAAAGGAGTTAAGGATTAACTATTAAGCACGCTCTTACTGAGTGAAAGGAGTTAAGGATTAACTATTAAGCACGCTCTTACTGAGTGAAAGGAGTTAAGGATTAACTATTAAAGCACGCTCTTACTGAGTGAAAGGAGTTAAGGATTAACTATTAAGCACGCTCTTACTGAGTGAAAGGAGTTAAGTTAAAAGGAGTTATTAACTATTAAGCACGCCTTACTGAGTGAAAGGAGTTAAGGATTAACTATTAAGCACGCTCTTACTGAGTGAAAGGAGTTAAGGATTAACTATAAGCACGCTCTTACTGAGTGAAAGGAGTTAAGGATTAACTATTAAGCACGCTCTTACTGAGTGAAAGGAGTTAAGGATTAACTATTAAGCACGCTCTTACTGAGTGAAAGGAGTTAAGGATTAACTATTAAGCACGCTCTTACTGAGTGAAAGGAGTTAAGGATTAACTATTAAGCACGCTCTTACTGAGTGAAAGGAGTTAAGGATTAACTATTAAGCACGCTCTTACTGAGTGAAAGGAGTTAAGGATTAACTATTAAGCACGCTCTTACTGAGTGAAAGGAGTTAAGGATTAACTATTAAGCACGCTCTTACTGAGTGAAAGGAGTTAAGGATTAACTATTAAGCACGCTCTTACTGAGTGAAAGGAGTTAAGGATTAACTAACTTAAGCACGCTCTTACTGAGTGAAAGGAGTTAAGGATTAACTATTAAGCACGCTCTTACTGAGTGAAAGGAGTTAAGGATTAACTATTAAGCACGCTCTTACTGAGTGAAAGGAGTTAAGGATTAACTATTAAGCACGCTCTTACTGAGTGAAAGGAGTTAAGGATTAACTATTATTTACATTAATTTGTGTTCTCAACCATGTACTATATTATTTTCTGGAATAAACTACTACTTATTTTTTATGTGTGTCAACCTTTCCTATTTATGACACAACATATACAGTACCTAATTCTGTAATTCGCTACCTTGACTAGCTTTTGGGTCTGTAATTGGGGGATTATTTAATAAAAAAAAATCTTATTGGATTAAATTCATCCAGTACTGAATATTTTCCTGACAAGAAACAAAGATTTTCAATGACCATTCTTCTTTTTGTGCTTTATCCCTTCTGTTAAATAATAGTTTCTGACTATTGTTTTTTTTTTTTTTAGTGGCTGTGTATTTGGTTAAGACCTTCTGAGGCTGACCTCTTAGTATAAGGGTTCTTTTTGCTTGCATTTTCCTTAAAATTTCTTCATTGATCATGTTTTGTCCATCATATTCTCAGCATCCTTCTGTAGAACCATATCACGGTTGCCACAAATGTCATCTTCATCTGTGAGGAAACTGTTCAACATTCATTGACATATAGTTGTGAAGTGAAGACGAAAATAAACACCAAAATGCTCAATGAAGAGATGACAAAAAAATGTTTTTCGAGTTGGAGGATTTGCAAATCCTTCTAGTTAATAGATTAATCCTTTAAAAATAAATATTTGACATTTTTCAACTAATAAAAATCATGTTTTGTGATCTCTTTGAAGAGTACATAAGCAAAGCCAGACAAGCCAGTAAGGAATGGCAACAGTTCAGGCTTCAAAGAGATTCCATTACTCATTCACCTGTCTTCCTTACCAAACATCTTGAAACTTACTTCTCTCCTCACTTTCTCTCTTACCTCCTTTTTCTCACACATACATGTGAAGAAATCATGCAAGCAAATATAAATCAGGAACTTTAACAATAATTTAGTTGTAAAAACAGGAAAATAAAAATATTTTATATTTTTATACAGAGGAACTTCGGTTCTTGAACATCTCACATGTCAAAAAAATCAGTTTTCAAACAGAAAATTAGAAATGAAAATGCCTCAGTTATCGAACAAAATTACAGTTCTCAAACAACATAGCCAAACCGAGTTAATATGAACTGAATAATTTCTTAGTTGGCTGCAGTGTTGTATACATTAGTGTGTTGTGCCGTACTTTACTTTTCGAATTTTATTGTACTGTGAATTTTTTCTCCATATTGATTCCTATTGGAAAAATAGTTTCAGTTTATGAACATTTCAGGTTAGGAACAACCTTCAGGAACAAATTAAATTCATGAACCAAGGTTCCACTGTATTTTAAAACCTTTCTGGATTTTTTCTTTGTTGTCTGTTGATTCAAATCTCCAACATGGTGATAGTAATATGAACTATTTCCTTAGAAGGAAATATTCAGCATTCATTGACCAAGAAGTTAGTGCTGCTTTTGGTTAAAATTTATAAAAATCTTTCTCTGTAAGAGAATTTTTCAGGTAAAATCGGTTTCTCAAGTCTAGGAGCTGTCAGGTATTGATGGGAGCCACATTCCTAACCTTTTCTTTGGGGTAGTGTGGAATATTGGCATTTTGATTGTCATTATTCTCTCTTCAAATAACATATGCTAACTATTTTAGTTGTTGCTACTGTTGAAACTCCTCAAGTGACATGGTTTCTCTTATCTGGTAGAATTCTTTGAGATTCTCTAATACCAGTTCACAAGGTTCAAGAAAGAACAGTCTTTGCACGCTTTAATTGCTTGAAGCCATTTTTAATCATTGATCTGAAAAAGCTGTTTTCTACAACCAGCAGTTGATACATTTCTGAATGAGTCTGGAACCTGGTTCTTTAAGAACATTACTCTCGTTTTTAGGTTAATTCATTATAAGCAGATTGGTATTATGTAGCACAGACCATATTGTAGAAACGTTTCTTTACGATTTTAAAGATCATGAAAGAGAAATAAGGGTAAGCAGAAATGGATGAGCTTCACCAAGGAAAGAAGGAATAATTTTCTTTTTTATTATTTTAGAAGATGAATTTCAATGAGAAAAAGGAAAAGAATAGAAAAAAGAAACAAAGAAAAATTCAAGTGAGGAAAATAAGAAAATTAGCCAAAAGAAGAAAGAGAAATGATGAAAATGAAGAAAAAGTGGAAAAACAAAGGAAGAAGAAAAGGAGTAAAAACGATAAAGGAAGGGGAAAAGTAATGAAGGAAGAAGAAAAGAGGAAAAACAAATGGGTAAACAACAAATGAAAAAGAAGAAAACTTGATGTAAATAAGAAATGAAGAGAAAGAAGAAAATACAAACAGGCAGAAATGAAGCAAGATAAAAACAATGCTAAAGAAGGAAGAAGAGGAGAAGGATGAAGAAGAAATATACAAACTAAAAGAATTGAGAAAGGGAGCAGAAATGAAGAAGTAAAAGAGCCAATATACAAGGAAAAAGAAAGAGGAAGAAAAAGAAATACAAAGACAGAAATGAAAAAGAAAAAATCAAGATGAAGGAAAGAGAAATAAACTGGTCAATTGGAAAGAAAATCTCCAAAAAACATGAATGAAAAAAAAAATGGAAAATGAAGAAAAATATCAATAAAATAAGCAAAAAAAAGAAAAAGAAATCAGACTGGAAAAAGGAAGAGAAAAAAAGAAAACCAAACCTTCCAAGATGAAAGCAAATTCAAAAAGAAATGTTTAAATTACAAGTCAAAATCAGATGAGTAAAATAAATGAATTTATCAGAGAGAAAAAAAAACTTTCGTTTTAGAGCTAACATTAACATTCTGCAAGCCAAACTTGGATCACAGGTAAAATTATTGAAGGGCTGGTACTTCACCTTTGACCGATGTCTTTGACATTCACTTCCTGTTTGCTGGCTTTGAAAGCAATGTTCTTATCTTGGCTTGCTCTTTCTGAGAAGAAATAGCAGAAAGGTTGAGATGAAGAGAGAAAAGTGGTCAGACAGCCTGGCGGATAGATGTGGCGAGATAGAAGATTCTTCACATTTCTTGGTAACAGGTACTAGGGATGACAAAATGATTTTAGGAAGAGTCATTGTAAAAGCTTGGAAGCAAAGAGGATAAGAAAAGAAGGCATGCAGGTCACCTGTAGTGTAGCAACATTGACGTGACTGGTGATCTGGAAAAAAATATGAATATGAAAAAAAAAAAAAATCAGTCAGGTGGAAAAATGTGTAGACATAACCCAAACTGTCAAATGTGTCATATTTTATTTATTTATTTATTTTATACTAGTGTAGCCTATGATATCACAGATAGGATTTAGTAAACAAATGTGTCAAAACTTTTATTCACTTAGATGAATACATATCCAGAGACGACACAGACATAGCAAACAGAATAGAAATTCCAAAAGTTTGTTTTTATACACATGTTTAGTATCCTGGAAAGGTTATGGTTATAGATACATGAAGTGGAATCAGCATGCAGAGTTCAAATTCTGACCAAGTTGGTTGCATCCACTTTTAAAAATAACACCCTGAGATATGAAGTTAAACCGCTATGCATAGTTGCCTGGTTTCAACTGTTGCCCAAAGACAAATTTGTAGGGGTGGAAGTGTAGTTCTTTATGCAAAATACGCCTTACAGAACAATTATTGATGCCAAGTTCAGTAGCATGGATCAGCAGAGCAATTCAGACTGCATAGCAAAGCTTGTCTGACATATTCCATATTTTCTGGAGTACATACCTTTTGTGAGGCTCCCACCAGTCTACTATTCATTGGTGTCCCATGTACAATGTAAGATTGTGTTATGGGTGGGAACAGTCTGATTTCTGTGAATGCTGAATTGATGACAAGGCTGAACTGCTGTGACAGACTTGTTATTCTTCACAAAACTGTCGTAGGTAAATACGTGGTGCTCTATCATCCATAGTGCCACAGCCTCAGCTGAAAAGAGAAAAAAAAAATGTTAAGACACCATAGACCGAATGATACCTGCTGGACATATATCCCTCCTCCAGACTGAGTAAAAGCCATTTCAATAATGTCTGTCTGCTCACCCTGTATATATAAGAAGCATACATGGACCATGTTTCATTTTAATCACTTATTTTGGATCTCACTTTGACAACACTCAGTTCCACACTAGAAGACAACAAGAAACTAATTTGAAGAAATTTGCACAAACAAATATTCTCTTGCTTAGCACATGCAAAAAATTGGATAGTGTTCCAAAAGGATTTGAAATTAAAGAAATTCCCAATCGTCCACAAACATATTACATAAATCCAAGGCTCAACAGATCTGTAACTCTACTTCTTCACAATTATGTGACCTTGCTTTTAAAGTGGCCTATTCTAAACAGCACACTCTTTACAAATATGCAATAACACAGGTTCTGTTCTTCACAGTTCTCTCACAATCAACCACTCCTCCTCCTCCAATGTGTTTTATGGCCTACAAGTCATATACAATAAATATCTGGACTTTATCCAACATTTTTCTTGATGATCAATGATTTTGATATTTTGCAACTTTTCACTCTGGTTACATTTACAAAACCAAGTTCTTCAAATATTTTCTTATTAAATTTATTCTTGCAGAGATGATTTCATAAATTATCAGTCCATCTTTTTTTTCTTTTTTTTATCTTATTGATAAAGGTGGAAATGGATTTGTCACCTTTATTATTTGTGTGTATCTCTTCAAAATACCAGTCTGATTATAGATTAGCAATACATGCTAATAATATACTATGCTGATAAGAATTAAATCTAAAGGTATAAACAGTGCATGTAATAATTTAGGCATAGAATTTATATCTTCTCTTCATATCTCTTCTTAACTTTATTTTGATTGGTCCACTCAGCTTAGTCAGTTCATATCTGTTAACATATTTGTGGTTGGTTGTATTACCTATTCTACACTGGATCATTTTTTTTATCAACATTAAATAAACTTAGCAGAGGTTATAAGAGTAAGTTACATCATAATGACTTAATTCACTACAATAGCAAATAGTCGAGATTAGCTTGTTAATGATCACTCTAATATAATAAATAAGTAAATGATAAATATTGCATTTACAATGTTGTAAATATAAAATTATTTTAGTCAGTAAAGGCAAGAAGGAGAGGAAAGCAGTGCACAACCTATCTAATGAGCTTGTGTAACTGGTTGACAGAACAGGGATTAGGAGAGATCACAAAAAGACAAAACTTACTAAGAGCTACAAAGGACAGGAAGTTGTGGAGAGCTATGTTCGCCCATATCCTGAAGGGACACAAAATATGCAAGAAGAATATACCTGAAATTAACTGTCGCAAAATTAATCTTTTTGTTGTTAGCAGTTCAGTACTCTTTTTGTTTGTTTCTATGTAATATCAATCCTCCTATATGGCCATGGATGCTGGACATTTTCCTCACAGATGAAAAGAAGGCTTTGGACAATGATGATATTGTTTGGCAGAAGGACTCCAAGGATACCATGGAGCCTGATCAATGAGGAATTTTAAGGAAATGGGAATGTAAAGGGTACTCTTACTTAGAACCAGAAATAGACAATTGAAATTTTTCTGATAAATAATGAGGAAAGAGAGCTTGGAGAATCTGACACTCACAGGATATATTGGAGGCAAGAGTAATAGAAAGAAACAGCAAGTAATCTCCCTAATGAGCTTATGTAAATTGGTAGCAGAACAAGTACTGTTATGGAAAGGAATGAGGCAAATATTACTTAGAGCTAGAAAAAACAGGAAGATATGGAGAGCCATGATATCCCATGTCCTGAAGAGACACTGTTCATAAATGAAAGTAGAATCCAAAATCAGTTAGATTCTATGCTCTCTTATAGTCAGTCTTTAAATGCAAAAACTCTTTTGAAGAAATTGGTTGAATTTTTGGTTTTGATTATTTACATTATTTGCAAGTGTACCATCATCCTCATTTTTGTTCTCATTGTGTTGTCTGGCCTTTATCATGTAACTGTTGATTCAGGTAACCGTCAGGGAATTTTGAACTTAACCCTTTCTTTAATCTATAAAAGAAAACTGTTCTCATTCTACTGTTCATACCCAGGGATGTATATCATCTAGTCTTTTATTCCTGCTCAGTTAATGTTCATTTTCACTGAGTTCAAGTACACAATCCCAGCCCTGGGATTGAACTTGCACTTACAAATTCACAGACCAATGCTTTAATCTACAGCAAAATGAAAAGAATCTCGCCTTTTAAATCAAATAAAGTGTTAAGTTCAAAATTCTTCGAAGGTTAAGCCAATTGACAAGCAACTGATGAAGATCAAAGGTTACAGTGTTGTTATAAACAATAAAGATGAGGACAACAGTCCATTTGTAAATAATGATAAATCTTCATCCCAATAATTCAGACAGAGATTCTGGTTTTAAATTCTTATTCTTTTTTATTTTAGATAATCTACATTTCGCAAACTTGTTGAACATAAACGTTATTTTATATTTATTTCTTCAGATTGCATGCAGACATTTTGTGTCCAAATACTTATTTCAGAATTTGTTCTTCTTAGCCCTGGATTAAATTATGGCTTACAATGCTGTTGGATAAAAGTGACTAACCTTATCCTTTGAATTTAGCTTAACTTTCATTCCATTGGAAAAGAGAACATTCTTCCCGTCTTCTACGGTGAAATTCTTGTAATAGTGAGCCCATTCAAGTCTCTTGGCTTTGTTGGCTTTGCTTATTAGCGGCTTAAACCTTCATGTACAAGATTTGCAGCCTTATTCTAACAGCCACCGACAGACTGTTGAAGAGGCAACACTAACACCTTGCTCTTCGCTTAGACTGGCTGCAATTTCTTAGCTAGTTATAATCCTATTCTTCACAACTTCTCTCTTGATTACCCTGCCAGTTCTATCATCAATCTTTTTCTTTCGTCCCCTTGTTTCCTTCCTTGGAGCAGAAGTGGCATCATTATGTGCCCTAAGCACTCAAGAGACAGTTGACTGCAAGGTTATAGCAATTTCTGCAATTTCTCTCATAGACTTGCTTGCTTTTGAGAGGGCAGTAATAGATGCCTTAAGGGATTCTGAGGCGAGTTTGTACCATTTCATCTGGTTAGTGATTTGAGTGGCTATTTCAAGCAGTTTTTATACTGTATGTGGCTTTCTGGAATATTTTGGAATACTCTAGTTTTAATTTAAGCTGTTCTAGAATTCTCTAGAATATTGCTCTGAGTGTATTGTAAAATAGTTTTCAATATTTTGTCAAAAGCTCTTTAAATTTACCAGTTTAATCACTAGAATGTGATATATCCAAATTTATAATTATCAATAGAATACCTTAGGGGGAATAAACTTTTTTCCAGGTGGTCAGGAAGTGGGTTTTTTTATTAGTAAGATTAAAAATTATTTTAACCCCCAAAACAAAAATATTTTTAGTAAATCAGGCGAAGGTCTTACAGTTCATTTTGACACAAAGGCTGTAGAAAAAGTCAGCTTTTTACTATTTTAAGTCTTTGGAAGATGGGAGATAAACACAGTTGATGGCAATGTTTGTTAGGCGACTGTAGAAGAGTCTGACAATTCAAATCTTCCACAGAGCATCATTTGTTGATATATTCTGAAAAGACCTGCAGATGCAATTCATTCAGTATGCCTTATTTTAGTCATGTATAACTGGTTAAAAAAAAATGTCATATGATCTCATATTGTTGCGATTTATTTATCTCTGCCCAAACAGATTCAACCACTCATGTCGAAAAGATCTAATCACAAACCCAGAAAACTGTGGAATCTTAAAAAACAAACCTTAAATCCAGCATATTGAATATTTCATATTTTTATCAGGCTTCAGTTGAATAGATTAACATTATTTTCTTTATTTTCAACATTTCTTTCTTCTTTATCCCAATTGCTTCAAGCTCTGGCCCATTCTTTAATATATAAAAAAATTACTTTGTATTTTAAGGTTCTTGTTTTACCTACCTACATATCTATGGTGTGTGTAACTCTTTCAGTAATCCTACATAGCCTTTTCTTGTATATATTTATATAGATGGCAAAAGAAAATGTTCATGCATGTGTGAACATATTTGAATAAGTGTGTGTGTGTATCCTAGTGATTTCTTTACATTGAAACTAAGTAAGGAATCTAAGAATATTTTGAAATAGCAAACTAAAAGCATTGTATTTTCTTGTGCTGAGAACATTCTGCACACCTCATGATGACTTGCAAAATTTCAGAAAAACAAATAAGTATAAAATTCAGTAAAATAAAAAATGCAAAGTTAGACTCCAGAAGGAAGCTCTTATAGTCAAGGAAGGCAAGAAGAAAAAATATCACTTTACTTTGAAAAGACGGAAGGCATAGATATACAAAATATGCCATTCAGAAACTAAGCAAAGTATTGAAAGTGTGAGAAAAGTCTTTAGAAGCCTATCCTTGGTAAGACAATAAACCACGTGCAACAGCAAGGCTTCTGATCAGGAGGTTTTGAGGGGCGTGGAACCACCCTCTTAATTACTGGTGTTGCCATGTCCACTCTGACCAAAACACTACAAAAGTGTATAAATAGGTTTTAATACCAGAAATACTTTGTAAAAATTTATTACCAGCAATAAATTTTTGAAGAAAAAATTATTACTAGTAATACATTTAACAAGACAAAACATTACCAGCAATATCGTTTTTGAAAAAGAAAAAAATATTACCAGCTGTAGTTAATGTTAGACATTCTCCTCACAGATGAAGAAGTGATTTGAGACAGCAGAAATGTGGTTCTACAGAAAGATACTGAGAATATCATGGGCTGGACATGTGAGCAATGATTAATTTTTAAGGAAAATGGAAGCAAAAAGGACAATTATGCTTAAAATCAAAAAGAGACAGTTGAAATTTCTAGGACACTTAATGAGGAAAGAGAACTTGGAAAACTTACCACTCACAGGACATGTTG